TTGTAGATATTTCCGTAAATATCTTAGAAAATAGAGGTCATATAAAAATGTTTTTAAACAAAAGTTGTTTGTTTTTTACGTAAAATAAAATTCCGCAATAAAAAATATATATTTCTATTAAAAAAAAAATAGTAAAATAAAATTTCGTAATAAAAAATATATATTTCTATTTAAAAAAGCAAAGTTGATCTCGACCTGACGTTGGCGGCATCACGCAAGGTCAAACCAATAGTATCTTCTTATGTCCTCCATCGAACCATATAACTTTTGTCTGAAACATTTTTGTCTGCCGGTCTTAGTTTGCGAAATATTCGGCTGGATAAATTAAAATGGCCCACCCTATGCTTTCGATAATAAAGATTGTGGTGTACGGTAAATAGACGGTAAATATATAAAATTCACTGAATAGTTAACGTATTAAGATACTTTACCAAAAATATAGTTATGATATATTTTTAACAAAATTATACATATATACAAGGTATTCTATATGTCCCGGACCGGCTGAATATCTCAGAAAGCACTTTTGAAAAAATATTTCAGACAAAAGTTGCAATATATAAAATGATGTATTTAGTAATATTAGCAGTTTAACCTTGGATGGCGTTGCTAAGGTTAGGTCAAAGTCAACTTTGCTTTTTTAAATAGAAACATGTATTTTTTTATTACGGGATTTTATTCTACGTAAAGAAACAAACAACTTTTGTTTAAAAAATTCTTTCAGAATTTGTACCAATTTGTACCACCAAAAAAAGTATTAAAAATATTTCTGCCGACCCTTTAAAATAACCTCAACTTTGACTAGCTTCAAGAATAAAGCTTTCTGCTTTAATTATTAAGAATTAAATCAGTAAAATCAAATCAAATTTATTGCATTTTTCGGTACTCATCATGTAGTTAGTATTTTGTACCGTCAAAAATAATTTTGTACGTTTTATTTAAAAAAATTGTGGTCCTGCTGACTTAATTTTAAGCTAACAGGGTAAATATCATTGAAAAACAGCAAATTGCAATAGGTTTTATTGTTTCTGAATTTGTACTAATTTGTACCATCGAGAAAAGTATGCAAATATTTCTGTTTACCCCTTAAAACAACCTCACATTTAACCAACCTCAAAAATAAAATTTCTCTCTTTCGATTATTAAGAATTAAATCAATAGAATCAAATTATATTTATTGCGTTTTTTATTACTCATTGTGTACTATTTTGTACCATAAAAAATAATTTTGTATCCCGTACTATTTAAAAAAATATTGTGGTCCTGCTAACTTAATATAAAGAGAACAAAATAAAAACTGGTAAAAAACGACAAGAAATGATAGATTTTATCATTTTTGAATTTGTACTAATTTGTACCATCAAGAAAAAGTGAAAAAATCGTGATCCTGCTATCTTTATATTAGGTTTAGATAAGGGAGAGGTTGTTTAAAGGGGAAAATATAAAATTTTCGATTTATTTCGAATGGTACAAATTAGTAAAAATTCAGTACTAATTGTGTGTATCATGGTTTATTTATTTTTTTTTATTTATTTTTTGGTCCTGCTAGCTTGATATCAAGTGGCAGCGCCACAATTTTTTTTAAAACGGCATGTGGCACAAATTTTTTTTGTGGTACAAAATAGTACAAAATGAGTACTAAAAAATGCGATGGGTCCCATTCGATTCTACTCATTTGGTCCTGCTAGCTTGAGAGAGGTCTCACTGTTAGGCTTTATTCGGACGTCTTATGAACGTCCCAATATCCAAACTTAAACGTCCACTGGACGTCCATTAGATGTCCATATGCTATCTGGATGTGTATACGCGCACGCGTACGCGGGAGTACATGTGTATACAAAATATCTGAAATGAAATATTATACCTAAATAACTCGTAAACAATAAGTGTTAAGAAATAATTGCTCACTATTCCACTATTTAATTTATCACTATTCCACTTATTACATACACAGCGTACATTATATATCTCAGTTTTTTTAAATGGTACATTATATTTTGAGCTTCGTAAAATGATATCCCGTTCTAAGGTGAGTTCAATGTTATAACTTTAAAATAGATTTTATCATATTTTTAAGTCATTATATGTCTGACTTTTTTAGTGTTACCTAGGATGCACTACGTGAAGATGAAATCTAACAAACATCCTGTATGTGTGGATGCGTACGTGGACGTATGTGTACGTGCATGAGTATAATCATTCTATTTGTACAAAATATAATGATACGAATGAAAAGATTGACATTGATATATTGTCGACTAAATACCATTGATAGTATAGCAGTAAAATAAATTTTGTAAATTAATAAAAGAAAACAAAAACATGTGCAAAATCGTTTCATACATCTTACGCTACGGAACTGAATATAATATTTGCTAATTTTTCCAAAATATGAATAATTTAAAAATCGCCCTTTGAAATGTACACGCATATTTATTATACTCGTCAACAAGAAATAGTGCGCGTGCATCTCAATTGTGTGTGTCAGAGGAATCGTCTCTGTGGAATGCACAAGGACTCGTGATACGCGCGTTGAAGCTCCTCGTTCTCACAAGCGAACTCCACTCGTTGCAGAGCGATCGGATCTCTCGAGTGGCACTTTGTGTCGTCAAAGCCACGTGTCGCCTGTCAAATCTGGTGTAGTGTATGGTATATGTTTCAGAGAGAATGTAATAAAAATCTCTTCGATAAACATTTTCCGTGCACGCACGTTTTCGAAGCGACGTGGAGCACATATTTCGTGCGAAAACGTTTCGATAATATGCAATTCGCCTCGAAATTTTTCGAGTTATAAGAAATATATTTATCTCGGAATAATCACAAATTTGATTGTATATTTAAAAAGAAATTTCATCTGTGTCGATATACATGTTACATCAATCGTATAATTCATCAAAATTTCGCTTAAAGTATCTCTTAAATGAAAATTTCTTCGAGATTAAAAGCTTGCTCTTTAATGTCATCGAAGTAACTTATATTTTCAATTAACTTTTTCAAATATTGGCACACATATATGTACGTTTAAATATATTTTATTTTTCATTTTTAATTCAAACAAAATGTAACACACAAAATCGACAAAATGTAACAAACATTACTGTAAATAAACATTCAACACAAAATTCCACGATAAAAAAAATTTCGCCACTCATAATTAATAAATGTTATATCCTCGTTTTGCGTGTTCTTGGTACAAGATGTTATTGTGTTTTTCGGCGTCAATTTAAAATTAAATTATTGTTTATTGATGTTAATAAATACAATTAAAAAAAGATTAAAAAGTTTCAAAAATAAAACTTAATGCATAACCAATTTAACAGTAATACAAATATTAACAAATATTAACAAATATTAACAAATATTAACAAGATTAACATTATTCTTATGAAAGGATAAGTAAGAAGAAAGATACGTCTTATCTACTAAACTAATTATCGCTTATAACAGAATAGATAATAAAAGAAAAAATTTAAGTATCTCCCCGCGCGCGCGGAAATGTAGGTTTACAATACCAATCGGCGATGATATGTTTATAAATTTATAAATTATTACAATAATATTTAAGAAGTTAGAGCTGTTGTTTTTGCCCATCGCATAATAAATTCCGATTTTCAATACGAAGAATGAAATACATACCCAAGTTATTTAAAAAAAATAATTAAATAAATTTATTTAAACTTTATCATCAACATATCAAAAAGAAACATTGGAACATTGTCGATATATTTACATTCAATATATCTCTTATCACCGATTATTCATAATAATCGGAGAAAACAGATAACCTATCGGATTGTCAAAATTGTTTACATATAATAAGTAAAAAATAAAAAATATAAAAGTTAAAATATGAAAGTAAAAAATGTAAAATATAAAAGTAAAAAGTCAAAAAAAATAGAGAAAGTAAAAAAGCGTGAAATTTTAAACAATTTGCTGAAATAATCTTACTTCTAGTATACAGATATTATAGATTTTCTAATACTCTTTAATTGATTTTATATCAGAGAATTTTTTACATTATATTTTGTTAATAAATTTATTCTTCAAGAGATTAAACGACGCATTGACCAATTAAAAGAAATTAAAAGATATTATTATTGCAGGGTTTCTTTAATATTTCGGAAAATAAAGTTCTGTACAAATCAATCGTTTGTCGAGACTATAGTCGAGAGCTATGGTCAGAATTTTATTCTAACACATACTGAATGTTTCAATGAATAAAATTCTGGCTACAAAAAGAGTTTTTTTTTTTCAAATAAGAAGAAGGAAAGAAACCAATTTGTATAGTCCAATCTCGTACAGATTTATGTAAAATGGAAATCTATGTGTGATACGGATTAGATTCATCAGATAAAAAACTCTATTTTTGTTCAACAACTTAAGCGGATAATAAAACTGAAAACTTTATTGATAAAACACTGACATTTTTCTGCAAAGTTTACGGCGTATTGGTTACACAGAATTACAAATGTTTTTACGCAATAAAAGTGAGTGCAAAAATAAATAGGAATATTGCTGGATATGTGACGAAAACGAAAAAAAAATTTTAAATGTAAAATTTTAAATTGTCAGCGTAATATTTGCCTAATCTAAAAGTAGATTAAGCAGCTTGTATATACCGAAATTGTGCTCCAGACAGAAAAATTTTGAAGAAATTGATTGCTATACTTTCGTATCTGCATTTGGAAGTTTAAGAATATCGAAAAAGTTTGCAAAAAGATTTCTACGTATAAATGGTTAGGTTTTCCGTTGAATATGTTAAACAAAAAAACAGACATTTATGTAAGTTCTGTAGAAATGAAAAGAAATACGAGAAGGATAGCGGATGATTATGTTAGTGACGATCGTCTCTGCATTATTAACATTGTTCGAATTGGTCATCGACTCCAGCATCCCGTTAATGACGCGGTCATAGAGTCAGAATTTTATTCACTAAAATATTTCATATTCGAAAGCATGTGTCGTTTGATATTTAATCGAATGTAAACACAAAAACTTACCGGCAAAAACTGCTGTACTATTATGACGTGGATCATAAGGACAGAGACCCAAACCATCCATATCACTTTTCTGCACATACGCTCCATCCTAGAATATAAATTTAAAAAATTTTTATTACAATATCACTTATTAGTAAATAGTACTTACCACAAAAATCAGGGTTAGGTAGTAACTAGTTAAAAAGTTAAAAATTAAGTTAAAAAGTTAAAAAGTTAAATAGCTTTAACTTAACTTAGTTAATTTTTACACTCTTAACTTTTAACTGAACTTAGTTACATTTTATCGGTAACTATTAACTTTTAATTCAATTATCTTGAAGTTAACCTGTAGACAGCCGGAAAAACCTCTTTTATGGCTTTGAACAAATTTGAAAATTCTGCGTCAAAATTCTGTGTATGTTATTTATATAGAAAATTCTGTGTATGTTATTTATATAGAAAAATGTTTGAGAAAAATAAACACTTTTTTAATGAAAAAATGCCGACAGCCTAAAAGTTAATCATGCCATAAAGGTGTCGCGAGACGTCGAAAGGCTGTTCAGTGCAGGAGGGCTCATTTTCGACAAAAATCTTCAAGAAAAAATGTCCGATAAAAATTTCAAAAAAACTTTATTATTTAAATTTAATAAGTATCTGTAAATAAAACATGTCCAGATAAGGTGTATATTTGTTTTTTCCGTTATTTATTATATAAAACTGAAACCCTGAAATCATTAAATGAAACAAATTTAACTTTTAACTTTTTAATTATTTTTTTTATTAACTTAACTTTTAATTCAATTAATTTCATTATGGGTTAACTTGATCTTAAGAGGTTTCCCTAGTGTGATAGAGTTTAAAGCAGGATGATTTTTTAGGAATTTTTAAATTAAAAACGACGAAACTAATTGATATAACACTTTTCGTATATATTGTACTACATTTAAAGAATATATAAACATTTTTCCAAATATATATATATATATATATATATATATATATATATATATATATATATATATATATATATATATATATATATATATATATATATATATATATATATATATATATATATATATATATATATATATATATATAAATAACAACGTGTCAGCCATTCTGCCGGAGCGTCTTCAAAAAAAAGTTTGTGGACTGTAAACATGATTGCTGCCGTTCTGGTTCAGTTCTGAAACAAAAAACCAAAAAGATAATTAATCTGCATATATGTAGCTATCGTTTGGCCTAAAATTATAAAAAATATTAAAAATTTAAAAAAATTATAGTATATTTACTGTTTTTTCTTTATTTTTGGCAAAAAATGCATAGTTTTTTGAGTGTCAAATTTTTTTTATTTTAAACACATCAAAAAAGATTTAGGTCGAATAAATATTATACATGTATTGTATATACCTATAAAACTTCAAGTGGATTCGACCATTCGTTCTTGAATTATTGTGGTGATCAGTTTGAAAAATGCTATTTTGAGAAAAACGCATTTAAAGTTTTACGTACATATTTTTAGTATATAATTTGAAATTTATGGACTTACTGCTAATCATTTATTCCAGGGCCGTACAGAATATCTTCTTCTTCTTCATAAAACTCGTTCAGAGAGGCCTGAGCTTTTCTGTTGGCTATGCGAGCCTCCTTTATCACTTCGTGATATTTACGCTCGGCGATCCGCAATCGCTTATCGTCTCGCTTGTCAGCGAATTACTTGGCTACTGGGCCAATGACGACTCCCACCGTCTAAAAAACTTTCAGGACTGCATAGTAGCCTTCATTGAAAATGCCGACAGCCAAATAATTAGCAATTTCAATTGTTTTCAAGCCGCAATGTAGATATTTTGGACCAAAGTGCCACAACAAGCCGTTATAGCTTTCGTTATCACTCTGCGTGTTGTCGTCTAAACAGCGTTCCAATAAATCATCTTTAGATAAATCTTCATAAACCGGCTTAATCACTTTCTGAACAGTTTCGATGAGCAGCGGATCGTGAGTGAAATTCTTCACTGTTCCCGTGGCCTCCGCTTGACGCCATGTATACTCTCCTTTCCTCTCCTCTCTCGGGCAATACGCAGTTTTTTATCACTTGAGCATTTATAATAATAAGTAGTCTAAATGGCTTTCCGCATATCTTCTATTGAATCCAAGTGTCTTGTGATTGTCAATCCAAAGTAACTTTGCAAATCGTTTATTAATTTATCTATTAATTTACCAGGGTTCTTTCCTCCAATACGTTTGTTTATGATATACTAAGATATAAGATAGCGTCAGATTAAATTCTAAGAACAATGATAGGTTCAGTCGAGGATCGGCTTTTTTTGACTGACCGCTTAGCGTACTCATCATATAAACGCGCGGCGCGGCTGCGAGACCTATATCTTTATAAGTACTTAAAAACCAACTATGATACTTTAGGATATTATTTTTAAGAAGTTAAACTTTAAAAAAATGCAATAAAAAAAATTCAAAAATTTTGACCGACACACTAGAGAAACTTAACTAAGTTAAATTTTCAAAGCCATTAACTTTAAGTTAACTTAAAAAACTCAGTTAAAAAAAAATTTAACTTACTCAACCCTAAACAAAAATGGATTTCCTATTTATAATTATTTTATACAGTTAAACTATATATATATATATATATATATATATATATATATATATATATATATATATATATATATATATATATATATATA